GTTATACCACAGAGGGCGGGAACTGCCTCAGTTAGGTGGAGGGTGGACGTAATTACCCTAGGTGAGGGGGAGTGGCCTGGCAGTGGCATGTAGCATGTGAGGGGAAAGAGAAAAGAAAAGAAAAAAAACTGAGCCATTTCAGACTGTGGGAGGAAAGAGAGAAGAGAGAGAAACAAAAGTAAAGGTATAGCTAAGCCCCGATCGCCTGACTGTGGGGCTGGAGGGGTTTAACCTCTCCCAGAGGTGGTGGAAAGCTGTGGCTCTGTTGTAGTAAAGCTCTTGGGCCAGCCAAAGGAGCTTGTCTCTGGCCAAGACTGTGGCAGGGCTCAGGTTAAGCCTTATTGGCCTCCACAGTGGTAAGTCAAAAGCCCACAGCTCCTCAAAGCCTAGTGAATCTGTGTCTACTTTTCTTTATGATGCTCCTCCTGTGACCTGGCAGTGTTGATTTTCCCTCTCAGTTGCTCTGCTGTGGTGATTTCTGTGAAGTCCCTCTGGTATGTGCTTCTCAGTCTCTATCTTGCTGGAACGTCTTCCATTTTCTTGTAGGCATTGTTATTTGCTCCCCATTTCCCCTCATCTTCCCCTGCCAGACCCTCAAGGAACCACGAATCCAGCCACTGTCTGTAGATTTACCTATCCTAGATTTCATATACAGAAACACTTTAAGAACAAAAATAACAAAGTAAGACAGATAAAGATCTTAATCAAAAAGAAAGTAAAAAGCTATTAAAACTTAGAACAAAATTAAATGGATCATAAGGGAGATCAAATGATCGGGCACTAAGTTTTAATGTAACTGTATCTGCAACAACCCACTTTCCAGTCCATTCTGCATGATAGCAAAGCTATTCATATCCTGGTCCACGGTCAGAGGAGATTCACTGGGGATTAATCCTCGTGTATTTCCCCTTTGTTTTTTTAGTTTTTTTTTAAGGGAAACAGCTTTAAATGGATCAAACGGGAAATGAAATGATGAGATATTAGATTTTGACCTAACTACATCTGCCATAACCGCCTTTACAATACTCCCTGTCTGATAGCAGGGCTATTCACATTCCTCAACTATGGTCAGAGGGGATTAATCGGAAGCTTAAGCCATGTGTGGACCCTGAAAATGTATTTTGGGCTTCCACTGTCATCCATATCCTTCTTAAGCTCTGATATCCATATCCAATTTAAGCTCTGACACCGTTCCTTCTTGTCTATTTGGATTATATTATTTAAAGTCCTTGATCACACAGGCTGTTGTGTTTCTTCCATGTGGATGTAGTTGATGCCTCACTGAGAGGGCTGCTTTCTTGAAAACAAGCCTTTAAACCCCCAATGCTATTCTTTCTGATAACTGCGAACCATCTAGTTTCTTCACCACACTGTACCATCGCCCTATGTCTTCCGTGACCTCTTCATGAGCACAAGCATCAAGCAGGGCCGGGTCATAATAACTAATGATTCTTAGATTGGGCTGAAATTAAGAACAAGCCCAAAATCCACTTACGTATCTGTGGTTTATATATGACTCTGATTCACCTTAGAGACATCATTGTCATTTTATGTTGCAGGACATTATCCCTCAACCACCTGGGACATCACTTCCATCCACTCCAATCAAGCTCATAGTAACCCTTGAGGACAGGGTAGAACTGTCCCAGTGAGTCTCTGAGCAGGTTAACTTTTAAGTTGAAGATTTTGTATGACCCTTGAATGATGCTATAAATATCCAAATACCCCTTGGCTGACTAAAGGTCCCCCTATCCTGGCCCTGTGAGGTTCGGTTAGTTAACAACATTGGGTGCCTGCCCACCAAAAAGCCAGAGGTCCAAACACACCGAGAGGTTCCTCAACAGTAAGACCTGGACATCAGTTTCCAAAATATTCTCCATTGACCACCCAACAGGTGGTCAGTGAGTCAGAATCCACTCTGGCAACAGCTTCGTGGTTCACTTGTTGGTATCTGGCCACTGGGCTGACTGAGGTGCTAATCAGGTTCAGACACTTTCTACTGAGGAAGAAGCATTTGACAAAGACCTCCACCCCATCTCCCCTCCTGCCTGAATCCGGTGGCACTGGGAGCTATGAAAGATGGCAAGTGATAACCTTTGCATTTCAGAAAGATCAGTCCAGATGGGGGCCCTACTTGAGAGGGGAGAAATGGCCCCCGGTGGTCTAGATAGTAGATGGCGGGGGCTTGCATTCCATTGGCAGTGTCTCGAACTGGGGCAAGGATTCAAGAGAGAGAGCCAGTCTTGACTGACTCACCTTGTCAAAGAGCATGGACCCCGCCCCCCCCCCAAACCTTTCCATGAGGGCCACACACCAAGAAAGCCATGGAGCCACCTCCCATGAGAGAAGGGGGAGCTTGAGTAGAATTTCCGAGACAAATGCTCTACAGTGCTGACGGTGAGACTCCCTCACTGAGGCAGGCTTGGGGGTTGTTCTAGGATGCTCACAGAGGGGGGAACCCTTTCTTTATCAGTGTGGCAGACACCAGAAGTCACGTGTTAAAATGCAATCCCCACATCTGTTGTCCAATTTCACAAAGAGGATATACTCTAAACTGAGAGGTTCCATTGTCCCTCGGAGCTCCAGAGAAAGATTCCCCTGACCTGGAAAGAGCCAGTGGGCCAGGCGTCCAATATCATTGTGATTTTGATGGCAGCGTACAGAGTTCCAGGGGGCCGGTCAACAAGCAACAGTCCTAAATGAAGCCCGCACTGCCCTAAAGTCCATGCGACTCACAAAGACACCATTGGATCGAGTAGAAAGCCCTGTCTCTCACCCACAGAGCGGCTGATGGTTTCAAACCGTGGACCTGGCAGTTAGCAGCCCAATACATAACCACTGTGAGTCCGATCGACTCTATGGCCATGCGTTTTGGTTTGGTTTGGTTTGGGTTTGGTAAGGAACCCTGGTGGTGGCACAGTTGGCTGTTCACCCAAAGGTGGATGGTTCAAATCCAGTGAGTGGCTCAGTAGGAGCAAGACCTGGCCACCTGCTCCCATGACACTTACAGCCTAGGAAACTGTATGAGGCAGCTCTGCCAGAAGCACAATCGAGGGCCCCCAGCAATGGGGTCATGCAGTGGTCTAGGAGAGCTGCCCCAGCCTGTGGCTCTCTGCTGTGACCAGGGAGTGGCTGGGGCAGCTGAAACAAAGGTGACCTGGGCTGAGGGAATTCCCACTTATAAAGGGATCCTCTGGATAGACAAGGAACTGATGCGGACAAGTCTCAGCAGGCAGGTTCACTAATCACACTGGCCCCACTGCTGTCTGGTGCTGGGAGTTACACCTTCCCATCTGGACAGTACCCTGGGGCTCTTGGTTTAAAAACTCCCTGGTGGAAAACTGATGCTACCTTCCCACCAGCCACTAGTAGCACTCTAAGCCTCACAGTGCTCCTGGCCATCTGTAGACTTCCTTCTCTTCTCTGAGCCCAGGGGAGATGGATGATCTTTTCGGAAAGCTCAGCAGCCAACACACTGAGGTTTAAAAGGAATCTGAAAATGTTGTATAGACACATGCACAGTATAGTGCTGTTGGGCGTTGTTGTCTTCTCTCTCTGTCCAAAATTTAGACTTCTTTTGTTATTCATGAACTCCTCCCCAGGATCCCTGATAGGAGACCAGTTAATTGCTTGCTTGCTAATGGAATGGTTGGTGGTTCAGGACCACCCAGGCACTCCTCGGGAGAAAGGCCTGGTGTTGACTGACACAAAGATTCCAGCCAATAAGTTCCTCTGGGAAGTTACACTCAGTAGCCTGGAGGCTGCCTCAAGTTCATGGCGGCCAGCAACAGCAACAACCATATGCCCAGCTACCTGACTCTCACCAGGAGGACAACAGAGGACGCATGTGCTAATGTTACCAAGATGGAAATGGAGCGGGTTCCCGCAGCGCAGAGAGTCCATTATAGCAGCTTCAGACAAACCAAACAAGAGCCACCAAAAGAAGTCCGCTGTGCTGGAAGCCGGGAAGGGGTGTGGGAGGGCGGAGGGAGCTTTTTTTCTATGGCATGATAAAATAAAAAGTTGCTCAAGGGAGATAAGCCTCAGGGAAGTTTACAGATGGTCAATCTTTTTTTCAAAAAACTAACTGAAGTCTAGTCATGGTTGTTTGTTTGGGTCTGCCAGGCATGCCGAGGCCACTCCTGCCCTGGTCTCTCCTGAAACGTTCCCACTGCCCCTTGGTGAGGCTGGCCCCGCCTGAACCCCAAACCATTGTGACCCTTCCTGCTGGTTCAGCCTTCTTGAGAATGAATGTGAACCCAGCTCCTCCGTACACACATTATGAACAGCCCACAAAGCAGACACACACATAAGAGGTGACTCACCGGGGGAAAGCGCCAGCCATTTGCATGAGGAACTTACACTGAACCTTGAATGCATGGACTTGCACTCTGTCAACAGAGTTGGCCACAATAGGGAATACCAGGGGGTGGGGGTGGCAGGGAAGGTCGTTCATCAGTTGTGACAGCCCTTGGCAGCCCGAGACCCGGACTGCCTTTGCTAGGCCTACCTCCAAAGGACTACCAACTGGGTGGCTCTCTGAGAGCAGAAATTTATTGTCTCAAATTTCTGGAGGCCAGAAGTTCAGATTCAGGGTGTTGGCTGTGTTGATTTCTTCTGGGGTGCTTTGAGAGGCAAGCGGTCCTGCGCCTCTCTCCTCATTTCTGAGAAGGATTGGTGGTCACTCTAAACTCTGCTTCCGTCTTCGGGTGGCCATCTCCCCCCTGCGTCTCATCTCCTCTTTTGTAAGGACGTGACGGTGACTGGCATGGGACCCTCCACCTCCAGTGGGACTTTGTGTTAACTGACTACATCTTCAAAGATCCTACTTCCAAATGAATCCCATATACACAGGGGTGGGGAGAAGGGGATGTAGAACTTCAGTATATCCTTTGGGGGACGCTGGGATCCATACAGAACCCTTTCCTGAAAGGATTCAGCTCTCCATTCACCTGAAAGCATACCGAACCCGAAACCCCAACCCCACCCCCCTCTGCCAGGAGGCCTATGCAACCTACCAGGATAGCGTCCGGTTGGTGGGGGAGCTGGTGACAGTCCTGGGCGCTGTGATCATCCTTCTCATTGAGGTAAGATGCGGGCAGGTTCCCGTGAGGCCCTCTGCCCAGAATCCCAGCCCAAGAGCCAGTCTTCAGGGAGCTCAAAGCTTGTGTTGTTTTGTTTCTCTGGGCTGCGCCTCAGATACCAGACATCCTCAGAGTCGGGGCCACTCGGTATTTTGGACAGACCATCCTCGGGGGTCCATTCCATGTTATCATGTGAGTGTGTCCTTCCCCCAGCATCCCCTCCCCTCGGACTCCTCCAGCTCTTTAGACTGCTCCCTAGCGTCCAGACCTCAGCGGACCTGCACCCGAGTTGCTCTCCCTAAGTGGATGTGAGAGCAGCATGGGTGGGTTTTTTGGGGATAAGGTCTAAGATGGGGTATGTGTGTCTCTCTCAGTATCCTCTTGACCCTGCCCTCCTCCGCTCTTCCCCAGCGTCACCTACGCCTGCCTGGTGCTGGTCATCATGGTCATGAGGCTCACCAACACCAACGGGGAGGAGGTGCCCATGTCCTTAGCCCTGGTGCTGGGCTGGTGCAGCGTCATGTACTTTGCCCGAGGGTTCCAGATGCTGGGCCCCTTCACCATCATGATCCAGAAGGTCCGTGGCTCCCCTGAGCATCTCTGGGTCAACCACGGGAAGGGCTGTAAGAGCCTAAGGGGAACCACTGCTGGAGGGTTGCTTGGTGGAGCCTGGGGGCAGCCTGATCTGCTGGGAAGCTGGTCAGGGACAGGCAGAGAGGGACTCGTCCCCGCTCTCTCCCCTTCTCCGCCTCTGGCAGATGATCTTTGGAGATCTGATGCGATTCTGCTGGCTCATGGCCGTGGTCATCCTTGGCTTCGCCTCAGGTGAGAGTTCCGCTCCCTCCTCCACGGACCAACAGACCCAGGTCTCCAGAGACTCACCCCAGATTTTAGTTCCTGTTTGCCCTTCCAAAACAGTGCATCCAAAATGCACCCATCGCCACAGGGCCTGCCCCACTGAGGGTAGGTGAGAGGGAGACCCCGTGTGTTCCAAATCCCTGAGCCAACTGCATTGCAGCGAGGTCCAGCGAGGTCTCGAAGGGAGAGAGAGAGAAGGAAAGACTGGCCCATTGTGGACCCTGGAGGATGGTGTGGGCAAAGGGACGCTACGTTTCACCCCTACATTTTGTAGTTCAGAAGTAGAAGAAGAAGCATAACGCATCCAGTAAAACACAGGGCTCTTCTCCCCCAGCTGTGCCTATTGGAAGTTGAGCAAAAGGGGAGAGTCAGAAAAAGAAGGCACAGGGGCAGAGTCTGAAGAATGGGAGGGGAAATCTGGGGAAGAGGCGCTGTGAAGAGAGCCGGGGCAACAGAGACTCAGTCAAGGTGATGCGGGGCAGAGATGAGGAGAGAAAGGAACGAGAGAGCAGAGACCGAGCCAGAGCCAAGGGGGTGGGGTGGGCAGAAAGGAGGAGGAGAGACTGTCCAGGGGGACATGGGCTGCAGAAGGGCTGAGCGGACGAGAGGAAGGCCCACAGCTCTCAACCAGCCCCCCGTTTCTCCACTGCTCATGCGTAAGACAAGGGGGGTGTCCTCAGTGGCCTTTGAAGACCTCCCACCAACTTTAACAGAGCAGGACAGGGCACAGGGGCCACTGATCCTGCTGCTCCCACAGAACAACAGAGGAAACACCCACCAAGGGCTGAGAAGGGAAGGGTCCATCTGGGGTCATCTGCTGGGCCTCCACCTCCATGAGTCCTCCTCCACCCTTTCTCCCCACCCCCTCCCTCTGCACCTACCCTTGTGCAGCTTATACCCGACACAGTGACTGAGTAGATTCCTTGTTGGGCTTCTAACTTTAAGGCAGGTAATTCAAACCCACCAGGCATGCTGCAGGAGAAAGAGAAGGCTGTCTAAGCTTGCAAAGAAAGATGAATGGTCTCAGAAACCCAAGGGGGAAGTTCTACTCAGTCCTTCAGGGTCTCTGTGACTCAGAATTGACGAGAGGGTGGTGCATTTTGTTTGTTGTTTGCTTTGCTTTTTGGCAGTTTCGGGAGACCCCTTATGCCGAGAACCCCCTGAACTGATTCCTCTCAGTCTTACACTTGTTTTTGTTTATTTGTTTTTCCCATATGTAAGTAAGTGGTGTTTGACTATAGACCCCATTTCTGCTCCTGGAGCAGGACGACCTTGCCATAACTCAGAGGAGGATCTTAAAGCTTCCACCACTGTTCTGAGATGCCAGTTTGCACAGGCATGATCTTCTTCCAATGGCCATCTCCAGGGGCCATGGAGATTAAAAACAACAACAACAACAACAACAACAACAAAAGCCAGTGCTTTCAGTTTGTTCCTGCAGCGAGCCCTTTAACGTCGTTGGAGATGCCATGCCTTCTTGTAACAACTTCCCTCTTAACCCTATGGCTTCCTAAAACACCCAGACCAGTTAGGTGCCTCTCTCTCTCTCTCAGCTCAATGGCCGAGCATCCCCATGACCCCAGTTGATGACTTTAGGCCGGGGCCATCTGAGAGGTAAAATGTGACCTCCGTGCACACATGCACACCGCTGTACTTTGGAGGGCATTGGGGGTGCAAATCCATCGGTGGAGGTCTGTGTGCTAACGGTCGGGTGAGTGCCCAGCAGGTCTCTGCTCATTGTGTGACTCTGCTCCCTTGTCCCCACGCCCCTTGCCCTGGGCTGGGCAGCCTTTTACGTCATCTTCCAGACAGAGGACCCCACCAATCTGGGCCATTTCTACGACTACCCCATGGCTCTGTTCAGCACCTTTGAGCTCTTCCTCACCGTCATCGATGGCCCTGCCAACTACGACGTGGACCTGCCCTTCATGTTCAGCGTGGTCTACTGTGCCTACGCCATCATCGCCACACTGCTCATGCTCAACCTCTTCATCGCCATGATGGGCGACACCCACTGGCGGGTGGCCCATGAGCGGGATGAGCTCTGGAGGGCCCAGGTAAGTTCTGAGGTGTAGTCCTGCGTGGGTAGGTAGGTAGAGTCTGTGGGAAGGAGAGGAATCCGCAACAAGATGGATCGATACACCAGCTCCCTCCATGGGCTGGAATGCACCAAGCCTCATGAGACTGGGCAGCATTTCAATCTATTGGGCATGAACGAGGGCACCGTGGGCCTTATTCGATGGTCACGGACAACAGGTCCTGCTATGGGACAGGGATGGAGAGAAATGTCAAAGTGGGATCTGGAATAGCACGCCCTTCAGACGAGAGTGACAGTGTGACCAGGGGAGTCCTCGTCTTGACTGAGTGCCAACCTGGGGCGATACCTCCGGAGAGACAGAAGGGGGAAGGAGGATGGCATCGTGGCGCAGCAGCAAGAGGTGAGGGCTTGGGTCCTGGAAGGAGAGGAGACCAACCCAGGAGCGAGCCTGGATCCCAGTGGGAGCGAAGACCTGTCTTGCTGGTTCTGGTTTTTAGTTGGAATCCTGTTGGGTCCCTGTTGCTTTTTCATCTTTTTAAATTTGGTTCCATCATGGACAAATCAAATCTGAGAGCTGGAAGGGAGCTCAAGTGGTCCCCACAGAGCATGAAACCCAAAATCAAGCTCCCTGCCTGCCATTGAGTGGAGGCTGACTGGTAGCACAGGGTAGGACTGCCCTGTGGGTTGCTGAGACTAAGACTCTTCACGGGACAGAAAGCCCCATCTTTCTCCTGTGGTCTCAAATTGCAGGCCCTGCAGCTAGCAGCCCGATGTGTACCCTGTACACCAACCATCCACCCTCCTCCTACCTAGCTTGATAATCCTCTGTTGGCCAGAGAGCCATTCAATATCCTCTCAGACACTGATCAAAGCCCAAGCTCAAGGCCTCTACAGGACAGGGAAGGATTGTTCCGTAGGGTTTCTGACGCTCTAAGTCTTTACAGGAGCAGATGGCCTCATTGCTCTCCCGTGGAGCAGCTGGTGGGTGGGCTTGATCCACCAAGCATGCCTTAGCAGTCCCTGGTGGAACCCACAATGCCACTGCGGCTCCTCTGAGGACTGAACAGGCATGGATTCTCTCAGGGATATGGGTCAGGGTTGGTGACCGGTGAGTTTTTCCCGATGTTGAAAGCTTATGTTGGTAGAAAGATCCATGTTGAACTGGGCTGAACCCGTACTTCCTGTGCTCCCATCATTCCTCCCTCCTCTTCCCTCTGTCTCTGAGCAGAGCCGGCCCTTCCCTATGAGCGCCCTTCCCACACTCAGATACACCCAGCATGTAGCCCCTCAGAATGCCCAACCAAGGACAACGGAGGAGCCAGAGTCTACCTCGGAGCTGCAGACGCAGGGTGGACACAGCAGGTGCAGTCTAGGATCTTCTGGTACTTGCTGTCTAGCTTGGAGACAGACGAACAGACAACCTACAAGTAGCTGTTCACCGACAGTAGTCAAAGGCCCCTGAGAGAAACACATGGTGTACTGAGCGGGGGGTAGACAGTGGGAGTGGTCTGCCTGGAGGGGGAGGAACTGTATTCTGAGTAAGTGACATTGAAGATGAAGTCATACAGGTGGTGAGGAGTCAGCCAGGTAAAGATGAAGGATGAGGTTGTGTCCATAAGGACTCCTGGCTGCATGGAGGATGGCGTGTGGACCCACCGTGAGGGTTCATCAGTCCCCCAGACTTCCCAGGGAAGGAGCTGGTCCCTGGCACTGCACCATCCCAGTGGTGGCACCATGTAGACCCGCCATGTGTTCAGTGTGCCCCTGGTGCTGTGCAGCATGGCAGCCTTTCGAAGAGCGACTCTTCCCCAAGGGCAGGGCAGCGATGACGGTGGCAGAAATCCCGGCAGTGGTAGTGGTAATGAGGGTTGGGGTTGTGATGGAGGTGACAGGAGAAATGGTCAAGGTGGCAGTGGTGCTCGTGGTAGAGCAGTGGTGGCAGTGGTGGAGGTGCTGGGGGAGGTGGTGAGTTTGGGTGACAGTACATCAACTGACTGCATACAGGTCTGTCTACTACTCTGCCCAGTGGACTGATCCCCAGGGAAGGATGAGCTCTGCTACCACAAGGCGGTGGGTGCTGAGGGATGGGGTGGGAAGAGGCCGTGAACAGCATCTTCTAGACACAGGAGGAGGAGAACCACCCAGGGAAGGAAGGGACGAGGATGGCAGAGTCCTGCTGGGCTGGGAGGAAGCTGAGAGGAGCCCGGCGTGGAGAGGCAAGAATGGGAGGAGATGGAAGAGCTTGAGGCCGGCTTTGAGGACTGCTAGCTCTTTCAACTAGCAGCCCTGGTGGTGCAGTGGTTAAGCATCGGGCTGTTAACTGTAAGGTCAGCAGTTTGAAACCACCAGGCACTCCAAGTGGGGTGGAGAGATGGGGCTTTCTACTCCTATAAAAGAGTATATAGCCTCAGAAACTCACTGGGGCAGTTCTACCCTGTCCTGTAGGATCACTGTGAGTCAGCATGGGCTCAATGGCAGTGAGTTTGGTTTGGGTTCAACTCTAAAGCCTCCCTTGCCCCAGTCCTTCCTGATCGCACCCTCTGTCCACGCCCAAATAGATCCCGCTCTTTTCAAAGTTAGAGTGGTCCTTGTGTGATGGAGCAATGTGTTACCAAGAGGAGCCATGCTAGTCCACTATTCGTGCCACCTGATGTTGCGTCAGGAGCCCTTGTGGCAGTGGTCATGCACTGGGCTGCTAACCTCAAGGCAGAAGTTAGAAACCAGCAGCGACTCCATGGGAGGATGAGGTTTTCTACCCCCATAAAGAGGGACAGTCTCAGAAACCCACAAGGGCGCCCTACCCTGTCCTCTAGGGTCCCTATGAGTTGGCATGGATGCGAGGGTAGGGAGTCTGGTTTCGGGTTTGAACGTTCAGTCAGGCCTTCTAGAAAATGAAGCTTATGGTTACCTAGCGCCCCTGCACCCCTTCCACACTCCTGCCACCCCAGCTAAGCGCCTCTGCCTAGGTCCTTCTCCTCTAAGCTGCAGCATAAACGGAAGGCCTTCCACTCAGTGTCCTTCAATCCCACACTACTGGCAGTAGACGAGAAGTCTGGTCTGCTGAGGTCATCTTGATAAGGCTCCTATCACTGTCCATCTCAGATGTGTGCCACAGGTATACGTGGTAGGCATGATGCTGTGTTTCCTCTAAGTCATGCATGGGAGGAAAGCTGGGCAAGGGAGAGACGCCGCCCGTGACGAGCCACCAGGAAGGCCCCTCTCTGACTCATCCATCAGTCTGTCTCAGGAGGAGGGGGTTTAATTGCTGCAAAGTCCTTGAACAGAGAGCTGCAGTCCCTCTCCACCGGGATCACAGAGCCGGTTTGATACAGTGCTTTGAAAACCCAGAGTGGGTCTGTGCCTTCCCATGAAACAAGAAACGAGCTCAGTTTGGAAGGACTCGCTCCCTTGAAGATGAGCAGGTGAAACACCCTCTCTTCACCTCTTCCCTCCCCTCCCCGCAACCATTCAGCGAGCTGCCAGTGCCTGGCTCTGGTTATGGCCTAGAGCACCGGTTCTCAACCTGGGGGTCGCAACCCCTTTGGGGGTCGAACAACCCTTTCACAGGGGTCACCTGATTCATAACAGTAGCAAAATTACAGTCATGAAGTCATGTGTTGGGGTCACCACAACATGAGGAACTGTATGAAAGGGTCGCAGCATTAGGAAGGTTGAGGACCACTGGCCTAGAGGGTGCCGTCTCCTCTCCTCTCTTGGTGGACGGATGTTGGAGTGGGGGCACAGTCGGTTGTTGCTGGGATGCCGCTGAGTTGGCCTGACCCGTCTCCACCTTATGCACGATTGAGCAAAGTACCGTCTGTCCCTGTTCCGTCCCCTTCCTCAAAAATGCTTCCATGCCTGAGCCCATGGCTGCGGCCACCATGTTACTCCATCTCCTTGAGGGTCTTCCTCTTTTTTGCCGCCTCTGCACTGAACCAAGCACCGTGTCCTCCTCCAGGGCCTGGTCTCTCGTGACAACATGCTCAAAGTATGTAAGACGAAGTCCGAGGTCCTTGCCTCTAAGGATCATCCTGACAGCGTATTGGGGGTTGGGGGTAGCGGGGACAAGTGAGGGGGGTGGGTCAGACTGTCAGGTAGGGGTATAAGATGAAGTGGGGACAGACTATGGGATGGGGAACGCACTACGGGGAGAGGACAGACCGCCATCCTCAGCCCTGGCCCACTGTCCTTGTCTTCTCTGTCAGTGGCTCCGGCCCTCTGAACCCCATAGGCCTGAGTTTTGCCTCTGGACTCTTCCAGGTGGTGGCCACCACAGTGATGCTGGAACGGAAACTACCTCGCTGCCTGTGGCCTCACTCGGGCATCTGTGGGCGCGAGTTTGGGCTGGGGGACCGCTGGTACTTGCGGTAAGTGAGCAATGGCCCATGGGAGGCCGGCTGGGCCCGGGGACATGAGACCATGTGCTTGCCTCCCTCTCCCTTCTTGAGACCCCAGCCTGGACCCTCTGAGTGAAGGGACACAGTGATTGATAGCTGTCGGGGCAGGTCGTGGAGCAGAAGACTGGAAGGGAAGGCCCAGCGCTGTGTGGGCCAGGCACAGACCTACACAGGCTCGCTGACAGAGGCTTAGGCCTGGCCTGTGTTATGTCCCCTCCCACATCCCGGTCCAGCTTTGTCCTCCGCCCCCACACCCAGCTCCTGGCCTCCGCGCGCTCTCCCATGAGCTTCCAGAGCTGTGTCTCCCCTCATCTTCATGACCCCTCCTTGGCTCCCTGGCTTCATTGTCTCTCACCCGCACGCAGACACCTGGATCCAAGCCCGAACCCTGGGTCCTGGTCACCCGCCGCCCCCCTCCATCCCACTGCCTGCCCATGGCCTCCCTGCTTCCCTCGGCTCTCCCTCCCAGTCATGGGTCGGGGCTCACTCAACTCTGCCTCTGCCCTCCCCCACCAGGGTGGAGACCCACCACGACCAGAACCCTCTGCGTGTGCTTCGCTATGTGGAAGCCTTCAAGGCTCCCGACAAAGACGAGGAGCAGCTTCCTGGAGAACTGCCCTCTGCGGCCGCGAGCGGAGCCCTAGCCAGAGCATCCCAGTCGCTGTCCAGGACTACTTCTGGCAGCAGCAGCAGCCACCGCGGCTGGGAGATCCTCCGCCAGAACACCCTGGGGCATGTGAACCTGGGGCTGGACCTGGATGAGCGGGACAATGACAGGGACGGGGAGGAGAACGTCTACCACATATGACGAGGACCTCGTTGCTCCTGGCCTGAGCCCAGGTGGGTCGAGGGGCCAGCAGAGTGGGAGAGGCCTACCTGGACCAGCCCCTCTGCGCCTGTGGGTCAGGGAGGGGGTGAACAGTTCACTGAATTGCATCTCACCCGCATGTCAGAGAAGACCCGTGGACAGCATGCTCCCCAGTTTCTGGGATCTCCAGGCCTCAGGATGAGGAGGTGTCCGGTGTGGGACTGGGCACTCCTGGGCCCAGCTGGAGCAGTTGGACAGATCCCTGGGCCGTGTCTGTTTCTGCCCTGCGGGGATACACAGCCTGGTTTCCATGTGGCGGAGTGTGGAGGAGCCAGAGTGGCCGGGAGCTTGTGGCTCATTCTCAGTGTCCCACTCCCCCAGGGATTGGGATCTCGCACCCAGAGACCCAACACCCACCTAGGAAGTTCAAGAAGTAGTTCCTTCTCCTGGTTCTCTGCGGGTCGTGGTCTGCTAGTGCGCCCATCCCACTCGCCTCCTGGCATAGCTTGCAGTAGAGTCTCCTCTCTCCCATGGGGGCCTCCTACTCCTCCACTAGGGGATCCTCGGATACCAGTCACCTCCTCCGTGTCTCCCGTCCCCTCCCCTCCCCTGCACCGTGAGGAGCTGTGGGGGGAAGCAGGGCAGGGCCACCCTCTGAGGGAACTTGGGAACCAGCTTCCAGAGCATCCACAGCAATGGCTCATGGGCAGCTCCCTCTTGTTCCACAGTCACGACACCCCTTTCTGTCCCTGTCACTGTCCTTACCCCAAGGCCATGTCCGCTTCAAGGGAGCAGTGGTCTGGACAAGCCAAGAGGCAGCTGGTGGTTACGCCAGCCAGACACCCAAACACACAGCGGTGTGCCCATCCGTCAGGGTCAGGGTCACATATGCACACACTCAGACACACTTAGGCACACATTCACATGGAACCTGTGTATGTGTATACTTTGTACACACTTGCATTGACAGGTGCACATGCGCACACACACGTGCATACACACTCCTGCACATGCATGCTCACATGCATACAGGCACAGACCCTGGGGATGGGCAAGCGGGTTCAGTCACCAGTCTGGCTTCATCGCCTTTCATGATGCAAACATGTCCACTGCAGTTTTAGCTCCGCCCCTTTCTGCATCCAGGTCCTGTTCTGTCTCAGTGTCAGTCTGTCTCAGACATGGGACCTATGTCCATCACAACTTCCCCCTCTCCACCAGCTGTCATGGCCGGCCTACACTCCTGCTCGGTTTTTGTCCACCCTCCCCACCGTGTCTCTGTTCAACCCTGCCCTACTTCCCTACGCAGGCGAGACTTCGCACAGTAACCCACGCCTACCCATCGGCCGGCTGAGCCCTCAGCCCATCTTGAGCTGGACGTGCCTTCCCATGCCGCAGACATCACCCTGGGCAAGGCAGTCCACCTGCAGCCAGGTCTCGGGCAGTCTTGGGCCTACCTGAACGCTCTGTACCATGCAATGGTCATCAGCCACTCCCCACTTCTGGCACCCATGCTTCTTGTCCATATCAGATCCTCCAACGTTTGGGTCCACAAACCCGGCTGCTTCCCTCACTCTGTGACTTACCCAAGCTGAGGTCCCCAACGCCCTGTCTCCAGCTCCAGTCAGACTCTTGACCTCCAAGCAGCATCAGCCCAGGCACATTTTGGATGGCTCTACCTGGAATTTTCTAGACCTTTAAACTTGACTCGGTGGCAGTGGGTTGGGTTGGGTTGCATTTGAAAACTCGGCTGTTTCCCTTTGGGACAGCTCTGCTTCCTCAGCAAACCTGCTCTCCCCCGGATCCCCGGGGCAGCTTGAGGCAGCAGGGCAGGCAGAGTTGCCTGCACCCAAGCACTCAACTCTTGTCTCAACTCTCATGTTGGCGAGACACAAGTCTTGCAAATTCTACTCCATAAGCACGTCCTTTGAAAACCAGTGAGTCTTAATTAGACAGCCTATAACATACCCAGCCACAAGGAGCTATAGGAAGAGGAATGTGGTGCCAGGATCAGAGGAAAGCTCATTAACAACCTGCGGGCTGCGGATGGCACGCCCTTGCTGGTAACCCCTGTTGGTAAACGCCGAAGCGTACAGCCTTCATGGTGGACGACAACTCAGTATAAAGAAAACAGAGAAGTCTTCACAACTGGACCAACAGACACGAAGCAACTGAGGGCTGCCACGAAGTCATCCTTCTGGGAGCCATAATCAACAGTCCATACGCGTAGGCCAGAAATCAAACAACACGCTGCGTTTGGCAAATCCATTGCACAAGGCCCCTTCCAGATGTGAAAGAGCAAAGATGTCACTTTCAGGACTAAGGTGCCTGAGTGAGTTAATTGTGCCAGCCTGGCCGATAATCACATGTGGGGCTGGTTGAAAGGCAGAGGGATAAATGGGTGGTGAGCCTCGCCTTTCTAGTTCTCGGGTCTCTTGTTTTGTGATGGTCACACCAGGGTGCAGCTGCCTTAGTAGTTCCCTGCTTCAGCTTGCAAGATTGACTTCCTACAAGACATCCCCAAGGAGAAGCCGCATGGACCTATCCCGATGCAGCCCTGGGTGCTGGAGCAGCTGTGTGGAGACCCCTGCTGGTGCTGAGATGCTTGTTCGTTCACTGGCTCAGCTTTCCTCCTGCAGTCAGCATCATTGCCTCTGTTTTGTGAGGTGGAGGACTTTGTGGACTGGTGTTGGGTTAATGGGTTAATGTTGGACTTGTGGGCTTGGGCAGCATTGGGTTGGGATGTTTTCATGATGCACCTTTTCTTTACATAAAACTCTCTTATACCTGAGCCGCTGTGGATTTGTTTCTCCAAAGTACCTAGACTAACACAGTGCCCTTGGCCCAAGCCGTGGCATTTCTAATGACCTCATAGGCACATGAAATTTGGACAGTGAAGAAAGCCCACGGGGAAATCGATGCACTTGAAGTATGTTGTCAATGAAGAACACCGAACATGCCACGGAGACCACTAGAATGGCGGTTCTCAGCCTGTGGGTCACGGCCCCTTTGGGAGGCCAACAACCCTTTCACAGGGGTCGTCCGATTCATCACAGTAACAAAATCACAGTCCTAAGGTAGCAACGAAAATAATGTTATGGTTGGGGGAGTCACCACAACCTGAGGAACTATCTTAAAGGGTCACGGCATTAGGAAGGTTGAGAACCACTGTTAGAGGAACAAACAAATCTTTCCTGGAAAAAGCCTTGCTCAGTGCCGTTGAGCCGGTTCCGGCTCACCGTGACCTCCTGTGCGACAGAGTGAAACACCGGCCGGTCCTGCACCACCATCACAACGATTCCTCTCTGGCAATGCTCTGCTTCTCTGCGTGATGTTTTCAGGATCGGACAGTGTTTCCAGCTGTCCATGAGGTTTGCCGTGGTGCAGTGGCTAATTCCCCCAAAGTGGGGAGCCTATTCCTTCTTTGCAATCTGCTCTTAGTCTGGAAGCTCTGCTGAAACCTGCTCATTTTGGGAGACCCTCCTGGGTTCAGAAATACCAGACACAGAGCGTCCAGCCCCACAGCAACACACAAGCCACTTCAGAGCGACGCACTAAGAGCAGCTACGTGGTAGAAAAAGTACAAGCCAGGGTATGTCTTAGAATGCGGCTGGTGAGACGTCATCTCATGTCCTTTGGACATAGTATCAGGAGAGGCCAGTCCATGGAGAAGGACATCATACTTGATAGAGGGTCCTCAGAAAAGAGGGAGACCCTCAAGGAGGTGTTCTGACACATGGCTGCATCGACGAGCTCAAACATCACAATTGTGAGATAGTACGGGACCTGGCAGTGTTTCGTGCTGTTGTAATAGGGACATTATTAGAGGAAATTCAATGATTCAACCACATGTACTTACACTGTACAGGGAATCTAAGCTTTCTTATCTTGCCTCAATCATTCATTGCTTATTCTTGGCTTATTCTCCCCCAAAAGATGCTGTGCTATCCAAACATATGCATGTGTACGTGAAGGAACTTCATGAAGCTCATGGGAAATGGAGTCAAAAGAGAAGAGGATTTTTTCCATTCACGTTTTGAAGCCCCCTCAAATTTGTCTTAAAGACACATACGGTGGCCAGAAGGAGCTTGACCCAAGCCACGGTCTTTTCCCTCCTCCCATCGGCATGTGAACAAGGCTGAACTGTAGACAAAGGGGAATAGAAGAAGAATGGATGTATTCAAATGGTGGCATTGGTGAATGTACCACGGACTGCCAAAAGAACAAACAAATTGTCCTGTGGCAGGACAGCCAGCGTGCTTTTTAGAAGAGAGAATGGTAAGACTTTGGCCTACACCCTTTCAACATGTTATCAGGAAAGATCAATCTTTGGAAAAGGGCGTCGTGTTTGGTGAAGCAAAGGGCCGAGGGAGCCCTCAGTGGGAAGGGCGAACACCACACAGTAGCCGGAACAATGGACAAGCACACACCACCAATCAGGAAGATGACGTCAGACCAGGAGGGGCTTCATTCTGTTTGTAGGGAAGGTCGCCCTGGATCTAGAGCCAATGCAGAGGCAGTGGCCCACAGCGTCTAAAGAAAAGGAACCCTTGCTTTTGTCCCGCACTTAACAGTGTGTGTTGAAGGCGGTTCTGCATCAATGGAACATTAGAAATCATGGCCATCCATCACGTGTCCCTGCCTCTGCAACCCTACTGCCAGGCTTCCAGGCACATCCCCCCATCCCGCCCCTGCTCTGCAGGGCTGGGCCCAGAGCATGCTCCGTGCAGGCAGCCTTGCCCCTCTCTGGGCTGTCACTCACTCTGCAGCCCAGAAGCTCTTTGAAAATGCAGCTCCCGCCACAGCCTGCTGCCTGGTGGAAGGAAGAGCCTCCGCGAGCTGACTCCTGGCCCTCTCCGGGCTCCTCTCCTGCTCCTGTCCCTTGGCCTCCAGCTCAGCAAGCGGAATGGGGAATGGCGTTGGCTCCTGGAGAGCCTCCTGTCTGCGCCCCGCCCCACCCCCCTGCCCCGCCCCCCGCCCCATCAATCTTTGTAGCTGGCCTTCACCTGTGGGTGTCAGGTAGAAAATCCCACCTCAGTGAGGAGGCTGTTGGGAGGATGATGATGCCCCTTGGCCTCAGGCTAGGCAAGGGTGCCCTGCTCCCCGTCCCAGGTCCACTCCCCAGTCTGTCCTTTCACTTCTGTTCCCGTGGTTCATTGCGACGGCTACCTGAAAGGCCTGGCCTCCTTATTAGAAATGGAAGCCCCGTGGGGGCAGAAGTGGGTTCTGTCTTGCTCACTGAGTACGAGTCCTGGGCTGTGTTGGTGTAATAAATATCTGGGAACCGAATCGGTGGCTGCTGGGCTTGGTTTTCTTTCAGCTCCCACTGACCGGACCTAGGCATTTGTGTTGCCTGCTGCACACCGAACCAAACACCCAGCCATCGAGTCCATGCAGACCCCTAGTGGCCCCGCCAGACAGGGCAGAACTGCCCCTGGGGGGGTTTCTGAGACTAACTTCTTGTTGTTGCTATTTAAGGTATTTTCTTTTTTTTTTT